TAATAATAATCATTGATCCACCTTTATTTCAGTTCTTTCTTACGAGCGCCCTAACTATTATACATAATGTTTCACGTTGTTAATTGCTTCGTAGTCTTTCAACCAGTGTTCTGTTACACAAAACACGTCAACGGAAATATCGTTTAAAAAAAACTTAATTGTAATGTTTTGCCAGAAAAGCCTTGAATGTTTTGATGAACTAAAACATCACCTCAGCTGCTTATAAGGATTAGAGATGTCTCAGACGTCTACGCGAACTGTATTACTGACGACGCAAGTGCAGCCGTTATCTACGGCACATATTTACGTATATTCTCATGGTTGCACAGGTCTTCGTCGAAATGGATGTATTCTACACAGCTCCTACGATCCCGACCACTCCGCTGGACGAGTCGGCGTGTCGTAGCGAGCGAAGCTCGTTGAAAGGCTCGAACTCGGCTCAACCATCCACGCACGGCTCGGCGTCTGGCTCACTGCACAGTTCCGCAGTTCAATCCGACGCCGACGACGACCACGCCCTCGAAGATCTGCAACGCAATTTCGCCATACTCGAGCACTCCTTACAGAACAAAGAAACCGTTGTCGACATCGAGTCGGGCGACGACACTCGCACCCGTCGATTCCGAAATGTGGGAAAACGCTTTCTGAAGTAAGTGCCCTTAAACTACGCTAAGCTTAATCCGTAGGTCCATTGTATTGCCTTATCAAAATGCAACGTTGTCAATAGGCGCGGCTTGTCCGTGGGGGCAGAGAAAGTGGTCACTATATCGGAGCGTGAACGCGGCAGCAAGCGCCATTTGACGTTAAGAAGCGTGAGAAGCCTCATTCGATTTGGAAAAACTAGACCACGCGGCAGCAGTGGCGACGAAGAGCAGGGTCTGCTGGACATCGCCGCCGGGCCCTCCAGCGAGCCCGACCGTCCAGTCAGTCAGACATCCATCTCCTCCGATGAAATACTAGTCGACACTCGCTCGCCAACCGACACCCCCAAACTTAAGAAAAGGCAAGTGAACTTAGAGTATGTCTGTCAAATCAGCACGAATATGACTGGCAAGAATGGCAATGGCACTATCATTAAATGTATGACTATAGATATAGTTTTGTATTGTACTTGTAACAGCATAATTATGTTCCTATGTGACACAGGCATAAATGTATACACCCATTAATTGAAAACTAAAAAACTCTACTAATTAAGTTTCTTCCCTACTTAATTTTAAAAATATAAATGTAACTTGAGGTTGTGCAGAAACACTGCTCTGGACGTGGGCGGTCTGTCGGCGCTGAAGGCAGCCGACTTCCAAGTTTGCGTGACGGTGATCGAAGCACGGCAGCTGGCCGGCCTCAACATGGATCCCGTAGTCTGCGTTCAAGTCGGTGATGTGCGCAAGTACACCAGTGTCAAGGAGAGCACCAACTGCCCTTACTACAATGAGGTAATTTCTCGAACTACGCCGCTGTTGTAAGTAACATTTGCTGTGTGCGCTGGCCCCCAAGCGACAGTTGCCGGCAAACCACGTTACAAGAAAATAACACGCATTAAAAAGCAAGTAATTCCAAAAATAGTTTAGCGAATCGTATAAAATTTTTTTCACATCACGGGCACAAATATGTTCAGCCTACGCATATTCCGCCTTTGTTTTTATGAAACACCATTGTTTCATAGTGAAGAACCATTCACAATACTTGACGTGTACATAGAGAATTGTTAAAGCGAGTCATGCATAAAGTGTTTAGACAATTTTGTATAATGTAACTGATTCTTAAGAAATTGGCACACTTTTTAATACCTATATGTACTGAGCAAAGGTGGAACAGCTCTTCAACGAGCATTCAAGGCGTTTGAACATTGAAATCTTCATCAAACAACTGGAAAAGTCCGTTTCATTTCCTTGGAAACGAGCCACTGACAATAATTTGTTTGTTAACTGAAATTGTGATAGTCAATGCAGACAGTTCAATCCACCTGTTATGTGTACGTAGAACACAAATTCTAATTGAAATTTACTTGTCCACAGTACTTTGTGTTTGACTTCCATATGCCGCCGATAATGCTGTTCGATAAAATTATCACTTTATCGGTAAGTGACTTGAAATTGTTACTCGTTTTTAATAGGTTTCTATCCATTATTTAACCAGCAAAGCGGCCACGCGAATATTTCAATCATTGTATCCTAAAGGTTTTCTTTGACCCGATTTAGTATGCTTTACTCATTATTTTACATCCAATTGAGGTGTAGAACGTCAACAATGTCGTAGGGTTATAAATGTCTTTATATCACAGTTTTACATAATCACATTACATTATATATCATCTCCCAGCAAAGGCACGTAATAAGATTAATGGAACACTGTGCAACGAACACACTTAGGCTGCTAACAGATTGACTGCATTGATTGGTTTGTAGTTAACGCGTGAAGTCGTAATCGACTTCATGCTGCCGCAATGATTACGACTTCACGGACTGCCGTTAGCAGCCTTACTCGGACACGTGACGTCGTCAGCGACTCTGGCGCAGGCGACAATGTGGCATCGCGGGCCGCTATGAAAAGTTATTGAGTAAACTAATCACGTATTTATTAACAATATAAATAAAGGTCTAATTGAATACAAACCAAGAGTTATTAGGACAATGGCAACAAATTATAAAGAGATCTATTCATACATATTCGTCTGTATATAAAAAATAAACTCCAATACAGAGTGTGCTATTTTGACCTATATACGAATAATAATACACTTGTTATGTACATACTATCTAGATGGATGTAATAAAATTGATTAGACTCTGCCAATACTGTGTAATACCACCGAGTAATTTTTATGCAATAGGCGGTGATACTTATTTGCGCTCTAGAGAAAAAGAATAAAAATGGGCATAACATTCTTATAATATGTATTCTACTAAAGTCAAAACAAATCCTTGGAACAAGAATGCTGTAATTTTTGTAGTGTTCATATAGAATCTTATATCACACGTAAGTATAATATTTTCTGCGCTAGAGACAGAGCGGGCTTGACGAAGCCTTAAAAGGCATAGGTACCTTTGAGAAAAGTAAAACTGAATTTTAACGACTGACTGTCTTACTCTTCCGAGCCCAAAGTTTCCTTTTGTGTGTTAACCGAGCAAAATGTTATTTCAGTTCGACTATTTTTAAAACCTCTATTCGCATGAATCACTTCAATTTGGCACGAGGTGATTCCGTGCGGGATAGGTTGGATTGCCTCCCTAGCAGGGACGAAACATCGAAAAGCTCTCCAACTGTACGGCTACATAATTGAATACACCCTTATCCGAGTGGGCCCATTACGTATTCGTTCCGGCCACTCCGCGCTGCTCGCCGGCCCGGCGCAGCGGCTGACTGGGGCTTTGGTGCACGTACCGCGTAATGTTGAATGCACGACGCCACAACCCGACGCCGCCCCGTAGCTGCTCATACTTGCTGCTATGAGTGTGTAAGAACTGAACACTCTACATACAAAATATAACACACATGTCAGTACGCACGTTAATGTAAGTATTAGCGCCTCGTTTCAGTTGCAGCTTTGAGTGAGCATATTAGATATACAGACGTTAATTTAGTGCAACAATCTATAATCAAATCCGCCATTACTTTTGTTATGTGTGAAGCGGCACATGTTTATTTACTCAATGTTATACGTACTAAATTACGCGAGTAACATATCATATTAATTAACATTGTAATTGTCTATTGAAATCTATTTCATAACCAGTCGGCCGGAAAAACCCTTAATGTCCACATTCCGAGCTCACGCTTTTTCTGACCAGCTCAAGCTGATTCCCGCGAACTTACTTGTTCGACTATCGACTCTGGAATTCCTATCGTCGTATCTGCCAATTCCGTGACTGTTTTATGAATTCGCTCAAAACCTGATAAACAGTTGTAAATTTCATCTAAGAATTTGTTTTCAATAATAATAGGCCGTGTTTCTAATGGCCGCCTACTAATTTTCAATGTCGAATTCTCGTAAACATTGTAGGTTGTTTCAATGCAAATAGATTCAAAGCTATTGTTGTACGCCTTCTTACCACACAACAATTGCTTCGTAAAAGAAAGCATAAAATGTAATTGTTGCGTGGGCCTAAAATGATTGATACATGGCGGTGCAGGCGGTTCCCGGATTTACTACAAATAAGAGTTCTCAGGATCTAGAAATTGTCAGAGGCGGGAATTCTACCCGAGTGATATACTTGAACAGCGAACCCGTCGCTACGATTATCGCCTTTACTCAAAGGTTTGTGAATCAAAGGACTCTCACTAATTCGTTTCTAGAGGAAAACAGAGAATATTAAATATATCTCAAGGTCTTTATGCTAAAGCGAATCTAATCCCCGATATTGACAGCGATATCAGTGAGCTCAAGTAACATAAAAAATCGTGCTGACATGCTGTAATTAGGAATGCGTTCATTATTTTGAAAAAGTAACTCTAATATATTTAGACTTCAACAATGGAGCCCGTGGCGCTCATATCCACTTCTGTATCGTGTTAAAACGTTCTTGTAAAAACCTAATTATATCGGTCTTTATGAATAGCTACAACGAATGCGGACACAAATAAAAGAACAAGCAAAGAAACATGAACAAGAAAATAAAAGAAACAGTTAATGTTATTTCAACTTGTTTGTGTACTTTTGTTGAATGCGTTAACGTTGCTTTGATTTTATATAAGAGAGAGAGATTTAAATTATCCTTTTTTATTTGTCAAACATCAATAAATGCACATCACCTACTACACACTTTGCCTTGCCGTGTACAAAGTACTCATTGATGGCCGTGCAAGTCATAATACGATAACATCCATTCATTGTAAATAATTCACAATTTGTGACACTTTTTAAAATTCTAAATAAACAATTGAAAAAACCTGCGTACAATTAACAACAACAAATAATCGCGTTGCATTTATTGAAGTTCAATTTTAAAGTAAAAGTAGTTTACGAGAAGATCGTTATCGCTTATTACATTAGGTAAGTGCCTAAGATCGGTGAAAACTTGTGATTCGCACATAACGTCTACACAATGAAAGTACAAATAGAATGGAATAACAAATATTTTGTTCGGTATCGAAAGTCTGTTTAGCCGAAATTATTGAAAGCTGAACGCAGAACGCTCGAATGAGCAGCCAGCCGGTGGCTATTTCCCGATACACGATCCCTGTGCCGTGTAAACACCCCTTCGGCAGAACTGTTAGCTCCGGCCAACGCCCAATTAAAACGGCGGATACATCCGATTTATCGTTGTGTACAAGAATACGTACTTGAAAACTATTAAAATGGAAAATATGTAAAACAGAACAACGTTCTGCCAGTTGCATTAACATGCGGAAGAAGTCACCACTAACCGTATATTCAGCGCCCCACTGACTGGCGACTGACTATTTCTAACTAGAAAAGGCGTGGACTCTCGGAAAGACAAAGATCAAGATCACAAAGTTTATCTACAAAAATTGATTGACGCGTTATTTTCAAGCGAAAATATCCGAAATATTCTCGCTCACGGCCAGTCATTTTTTCACGCCTCTTTATCCGACGTGCTTAATGCTGTATATATTAGCGATTACGTCTGTGTGACATAAATTATGGCCACTTAGCGTACTGACAGGTGAATGTACCTTCTAAGTGCTTATTCGTTGAATTATTATGTTTTTACAAATATACTTCTGTGAAAAAATGTAGTACGATGCGGTGTAGTGAAGTCGCGTGCATCGTGACGATTGTTCGCAGGTGTTGCAGTCGCGCAACATTCTCCGCGCCAACAAGCTGCTTGGCAGCTTCAAGCTGGACGTGGCCACAGTCTGGAGCCAGCCGGGTACGTGCTCTCACTGTTGTATAGTACTTATTACCACTGACTAAACACTGCCGCCGCTCAGTACAATGATAGAGCGCTAGAGCTCTTTTATATCGAGTTGAAACTATGGAAATATTAATCACAGGGTATTGTTTGATACGACGACGCCGATAGGAGAATTCCGCGAACAGACCGAAATTGGTGTGTTTCCGAATACATACACTGCACAACATTTCGACCATTTGCCGTTCTCATTTCCATTCAGTCAATACAAAAGAGCAGCTGCGCTGTACTGTACCCCTTAACGTATCGTGAAACATAAGAGCTGAACACCATCAAATGCAAATAGCCAACTCAGACATCCTTCAAATATAATTACCAACACTGCTAATTTAATACAACCCGCACATCACCTTGGTGTTCCGCCAGTCTGTTAAACGGATCGGATGCAATTTCAAACAAACACTTTAAGACGTGATCTTCGCTTAAACAAATGAATGCGTTTGTGCCCTTGCATATTTGGGCCACAATACGAAAATTTCGTTAATTCACATCACTGTTTACTGTATCGAGGCAGCGCGGTGGACTAATGTATGGGCAGTGACTGTACTTGTCTTTGTTTATACCCCGCTCGCGTGATGATCATTCTTAGTATTGTAAAAAGTTGCAATTAATTTGGAGGCTCGTGAACATTCTGGTGGTCGCTTTTAGTGCCAGAAGCGGAATCAAATATCTACCTCTATATGTTCCCTCACCCGCGTACAAAAACACTTTGGATACTTCTGTAGTAAGAGAAAGAGTCATGCTCATCCATGGATTTAGCATTGGTACATACTAAATCTGTGCACACCACATGCTCACAAATTAATGACGCCTGCAGTTTTTCCCGTAACATTCTGACACTAAATAAATATCACAACTGCATATAAGAAGTGATGGCCTAATAATGTACACCTGTAAATTGTGTAGTACCTACGTTAAAGATATTAATAAATAGTAAATGACTGCATTGTAAAAACAACATCATACCCTGTGCCAGCTCTGCATGTTTGCATACTTTGTTTTTAACTATAGTATATTGAGTACATTTTGGGACTATCGTCGCCTGAACTAAACAAAGCACCATCATGGTGTTTGTGTCACATATTTAATACTTTATAAACACACATACGACAGTGTGTGCTGTCAGTAAAAGCACAATTAACTTAAGAGAAACGGAATCGGTTCTATTGCGCGTGTGCGCGTCCGGGACACTGGCTTTATTTCATAATTCATTTTTTTTACAAACGAAATTTAAGCCATTTCAAAAATGTATGTCGTATACTATACGTGTTCTAGTTCAGTTGATATTTAAAAAAATAGTGGTATATGTAAATTACCTATTGAATACAAGAGGTAAGTTTGTGTTTCTTTTTCTACTCTGAAAATTTTTGGGAATCGAAGGACTTTCGCTGTTATACGGAATCAACCAAAGCCGTTTGAGGTCATATCGACTCGTAACGACAAATTAATTGCATAAACGTGTGTTGGAGACGGGTGGCATATATATTAACTGCTATTAACTTAATATATTAGTCTCTTATCACGTTACTTTTGTCTGATGTATTGCTCACCTATTACACTGTAATAGTAACTGTTTGTATTTAATATGTACTTCAGCTCACGTGTCATGTGACACCAGCGCGAGCGAGACGATTGTACCTACTTTAAAACGTTACTGCCTACCCATGTATTTGTATTCAGTTATCTTAAAAAAGTAGTACGTATCTATATATTACTAGCTCTGATAATAAAAATACACGCCATATTCTCTGTAATTTATTGTACAGTTACCATAGCGTTGTTTTATCAAATTCATGAAAATGTTTCCAATATTTTCTATCTTTGATGTCGCGCGTTATGTTTGGGACGTCGCAAATCGAAATATACCAATTGTACTTATTCTCCTTGACAAATCGACGATTTCATAGGGAATTCCCTAGTTTGAGGTCACGCAATTGGTGCGGTTGTTTGGCACTTAAAAAAATCACAATAATTGTTATCTGAATGTACAATCGGTAACCAATTACGTAGGCGACAAATATGGGCAACGAACAACCTGATTGCGATTGTTCTAAATGTAACGCAACGAAAAACCTTGGCATCTGCCTTCGCTGTGCATGTTCCTTGTTCTATTTAAGCACCTATCTTTATGTATTCACGCTATTTCAGACTGTCCCGAGATCGGCTGAGTGTCGCGCCTTACTTCATCATGCCTTTTTAGGTGATAAGTATACCTTGGATTGATAAACGCTTTTGGTCATGTGCTAATTAACCGCTTGCCTTAAATCGATCGTTTATTGGACGTTATACTATACAAGCCATATTTGCCGGGATTGTGCAACAACCTCAAATAAATTTCTATAAATATTTCTTTTATTTCTTTGCTACCCCGAGAATCTAGTGAAAGTTCAGTCTGTAGAAATAGGTTGTTTTTACCACCCTCTCTCCGAGCCCCGTATAAAACTAAAAAAATAAAAACTCAAGCGCAACAGTTACACACATCACCACCAAAAATATACCCACACGCATTTCTCCTCTTATCATGTGAACGCGGGGAAGTAAGTCAAAGATACGTGCTGTCGTCCGTAAGCCAAGTCATTTTACTATTCACCACGTACGACAATGTTCTTTAGTTGAAGTCTGTTTATGCCTACAGACTCCTTACAAAATCTTCAATCTATTCGCCTTTTAACAACTTGATCGTGCCTTCAAACGTGGCATAGCTTTAGACTCGGGCGAAGCTTAGTCGAAATCGTACCTATAAAGGGGTCTACCGATCGGTCCGACCCGCGCAGGTGGTATCGACGGTCTCGTTTCTAGAATCATGTCATAAGATTAGATTAGAAATAAGCCAAGCCGGGCTAAGTCGCCGAGTCGGTGGGTTCGATCTGTAGCCCCCTAAAGTTACACAATTTTCGATACACGTGGCAATTCAACACGTGGACCTCTCTAAAGTGTGGCGCATAAGCTCACCTACACATAAAATATATAAATAAAAATACGAAGTATCGTTCATATTTTGCGTGATCAATAATAATAATATCTGCTGACGAGGACCGGTTGCGTGGGGGCCGAACTTTGCTAACAACTTCCTTTGGATCGTCCCCTGTTTCATTGCTCATAAAGTATACTTCCGTTGAAGCAATTCGCTTATTGAAAGAAAGAATATCTTTACATGCCTCAAGCGTTTAAGAATTAGCTTGTATTAATTACATAAACTGTTCCGTTGAAACTTTTAGTATGATTTAAATTGCTAACGGTCGTCGTTTCTTATTACTTACCAATAAACGATCGATTTTGTTTCCTGTTTAGTAATTTATTTTATAAGAACGCTGCATCATAATCATTTCCTCGAATTATTACCATTATTTTAATTCTTGAGCTTGATTATTTATCCTTTATTAACAATGACTTACTGAATGAATGAAATTAACTTTTCTCAATTTGTAAAAGAGAACCGAAATTAAATTAAGTCCAGAGGCACTCCTCAAATTTACTCTGGTACTCACGGTACTGTCACCTCCAATAAAATGTATACGTGTAGCTACAACAATTTGTTAAATATTTGTTGAAGTAATGAAATATATAATAACGTCTATATTATGAAACTTTAATGGATAAGACATAACAATTTGACAAATGTTTACGAAAATTGTTGGTTGAAGGTTAGTAGCAGCAGCTCCTTGTGAAAGACTTCGTCTAGAGAAGTACTGCCACCTTGTCTATTACTGCAGTATGCAGCAGAGCACAGCATGGGACTTGTCAACCTACGTCTCAGGTTGACTGGCGCAGTGGCAGCCTCATGTCTTTACGATCAATGCAACTGTTATGGATAGGCGTGTCGCTGACCACCAAGCGCACGACTCGTTCGTCCCGTCACTTGGTGTAAAAGAAGCAATATAAATACCATTCAACGGCATTAAACAACCAATACCTAGAGCCCAGCTACTGAAGCCCAGTTTACATCAAAACACAAAACTCCGACTGTCCGTAGCGTCTTCTCAAGCCTTTAATACACCACATACAAACCACTTGTCTTCTTCACTTGAAGTTCTCACATATCGGCTTACCGATTTCAAATATACATATATTATACATCCTTCGTCACTCATAGATAATATCTGAATGAAAAGTGCTGAATGTTTGTCTGTTACATTTGTTTATCTGTGTAAGTTATACCTACTGTCCTCGGATTGGTACATCTCACCTCACCTGCTTATGGCATTTGACAAACGATCGTAGATCATACCAACATGCGCTCGAGTATAACAAGTAAGACAGTTGAAAAGGCTATATGGTTTCCCATATGACTAAGTAACATTGTAGAACTTAGTAACTACTTATAGTAGATTTTTCGTATGTAGCATAAACTAAAAATACACACACAAAATATCAGTCAACGTCGAAAACCTCGAAGCTTTTAGTGTTAAAAAAAATATTTGTAGCCATATTTATTTTTAAATAAGTGTGACATTCGTCTCAAATAATTGATAATGTACATTAAATTAATTGTGGTTAAAGTTTATAATTGATATATTTTCGACGCTGACTGTACTTAGTTCTTAATTCACTTAGACATTCTTGATTTAAGATTGGGTAATTATAATATCGCTTACATTATGTTAGTGCAAATGACTAAGCGAGAATTTGGCAATGCGAAGCATCAATATATTGCGCTAAGCGAAATTGAAATGGCTATGCGGTTTGCTGCCCCTGTGTGTCAGGGGTGAATGTAGTTTGTCCTGGAACATTTTTACATTCGTACTCGCTGGCGAATATTTAGATGTTTCTGCAGTGCGACTTTTCTCCGTTTAAAAACACGATCAATTAGTAAATTGTAGATATCTAAGATAATTTCGTCAAGTAAGTCTTTCTACGTCTAGTTCTCTAGTAATTAGTTTATACTAGATGCTATAAAAGTTAATCATTTACGTGTGAAAGACCTGTAACGACGCGATCAATTTTTGCAAAACTAGAAAAACTTTATAAAAATGCAGTCAGAAAAATTCCTAGACATTTATACAAACTTTAACAATATTTGTATCAATAATAAAGTCACATAGTGATTTCTTTAAACTGACAAAATATGTTTAATTAAAAATTAATGTTCGTCGCATCAGCCATAAACAGCCGTAACGTGCCACTTGAGATAATGATTGACAGAGTCAAATATTTTTTCTTTTTAACAGTTTACCCAAAAATGTTACTTTTTGAATTAAGTCTCATAAGAACTTAATTTGTATTCTGATACTTTATTGACAACGTGTCACAATTGTTTCTTAATTGTACGTACCTTACGTACTTACGTATTACATATGTATATATTATGGGGATGTCCTGTTTGTACTGCTGAACACGTAGCTTACAAACCTTCCAAACGGATTGACGGACTTGATAAATGTTGGATTGTGAATGATAGAAGGTGTTCACACTAATTTTATCACTATGAACTGAACATAGTGTAAGGTTACCTGTGGCAATAAGAACATGGTGCATGAACATCTAGAGATTTATTTATTTTTGAGCTGCATTGAATATTTGTAAGGCGCGTTGTACGGGGACGTGTACAATTTGTCAACGCGAAAATGATAGATGTAAACCTACGATACCAGTTCATTCTTGCTCAACTAACGTGAACACATGATGTCGATTTATGTGGCGGTGCACTAAAATCTAGCAGAGCCAGAGACTCGGTAGCTTTACTGTCCCGCTATTTATATGTTATATTATAAACTTATTAGTTGAATAAATAAATTCGACCACGATCGAGCTTCAACTGTTTAAATATACACTCAGTAGGTATTTAGTCTGTTAGAATAAACTTCGTAACAGGTGAGTGTAAACTGGTAATTATGAAACTAGTAGGTATATAGGTATATGACACGCGATCATATGATAATTCGTCTTTCTAAAAAAATCCAAATTGTTACGTCTCCAGGCAACGTGCTGTTGTACGAAAACGTTGTAGTACCTACTTACTGTAATTATCACGTAGCAACTACAGCCTATCATTAACCGCACGTTCGCGCAGTTCCTTTCCGACACGTTGGAAATAACTACGGGTACCGTTGTAGTCCGAGTCTCTAGTTGTAACACAAATGCAACTGTCCAATTCAAAAAGTCATTATTCGGGCGACTAAAACAAAATCTTAGCGTTAATCTTGTCCACAGATCGTCAGTTCTACCACAAGTGGGCTTTGCTCACAGACCCTGACGACGTGGCTGCTGGTGCCAAAGGCTACCTCAAGTGTGACATCAGCGTTATAGGAAAAGGGGACACAATCAAAATTCCGCCAAAAAGCGAAAAAGACGAAGACGACATCGAGGCGTGAGTACTTCACCATGAAAGCTAGCAAGCTAGGATCAGAATCTAAATAACCTGACCACGGAGCAGATACAATTAGGGCTTGGCCTACGTATCTAAATCATTAAATAAACCATCGCGCCAGGCTGTGGTTCATTGTCTATCAAAGCGAAGTCGAGCTACGTTTCATTTCAAAGAATACTTCATCATTTTGATTTCTCCACTTTGTCAAAACCCAGGCATACCACTGGAAGCTAAAATTTGGACAATCGTTGAGATTGGTTAATATTGGCATTCGTCTTTCCATACATGCTCCATCTATTCTTAATTTAATATATGTGCCTAACTGCGCCTAGAATCAAATTTAGGTAAGCTCTGAATAAAGTTTGTTGTCGTCGAATTTCTACACTCTGTTACTAATGCATAGTTTAAACAATGATCTGAAATTTAGGAAGTTTCAACGAACGAAAGAAATTGTCGACGTCACGCGTACTATTTATCACGCTTAGTCTCATTGGTTAGGCACGGCGAGATTCCATTTCCTACACACGGGCAGCGGCGGGAGAACGCCAGCAGGAAATGGAACGGAGAACGCATTCACACTTTAAAAATTGAAGCCTTAAAAGCAATAATGAGTCACAACACGACGATATACTGTATTTACTTTTACAATACTTGCGACCCTTTTGCAATACGAGGCTTAATTATAATTAACAGCTCCCAACGTCGAGTGACGACTCACAAATATCATTGTGCAATTCAATATAGGCACAGGTATTTATTTACAGAAGTATAAAACTTCGCCAAATGAAAACGTAATAAAATTTCAGTCAGGATCTTCTGCAAAAATATAAAGTTCTTGTCTCTGTGGAAACCCAAAACTTTTATAATGGGGTGAGGTGCCAGTGGGACTGCGCAACTCAAAGTTTAATGTGTTAAATAAGCAGTCCTTGAAATAACTGGCCTTTCTGGTAATTAAACGAGTGAAATCAGCTCAAGAGATTGATTTTAATGCGCGACCACTGCATTTCATAAAGATCTGGGGCCTCACGATTTATCCTTCACCTGATTATATGTAACCCGATTATTAAACTAGCTATTCGTTGTTTATGTGTCAGTGTTCTTATTTCCTATTATTGATATATTATGAAAATATTAATAGAGCGGTATCCGGTAACTTACGACGGATTTTATAGTTCGATCTCTATTTATACTCCACTATTTAGTTATAGTTATCAAGTTTTAAGCAAACCTAGGATCTTTTCATTTCAGTTAAAGTTGTTATAAACCATAGTATGCAATAGATAATGTATACAAGACTTGCATTCCCTAGACACAGGAAACGTTTCAAGTAACCGTGCCACAGACACATCACTGCCCTCCGCCCCGCGGGAATGAGGCCCGACACACAATTTCACTGTTATTTCGACCTTATTCGGGACTGTTACCTTGTTTTATAAATTTATTATTTATTAGGTATTTGATACTTCTTTGCCATAATGTGGATAGCGATCACCTATTTGTTTGGACAAGAGATGTGAGGCGATCGCAAAATCGCCGACAGCGGCGTCTAATGACCGGCGTGAAATCGGCGTGGACCCGAAAAATATATTTTTCAGGTGTTAAAAAAATACAAAAATATTGTATAAGTCACAACCTTTGTGTTTATTTGCAACGTTTTTTCTACTTTAACTTGGAAATTAGCAGTAATGTACTATATACAGTTTAACAGTCCAACAACACCAACTACTCGGAACCATTCGCCATGTCCACATCAAAATATCCCCGTCTCCGTCACGTTTACCACATATCAGAGAGGGCTAGGCAGAAATTCTGTATGGAATCTATGGATTAGTAATACTAATTAGTAATGAATGATCCACTTCAGATCATTCGAATACGCAAATTGGTAGGTTATTATTTTGTCATGCGAATAACAGGACTAATTGCTAACGCGTCGAAGTTCGAAATCGTTCGCAATGGCGCATCGCTACCGTTTCGTCTCTACAAGACGTCCAACACTTAACCATTATTGTATCGTCTCTGCGTATCAGAGCAACAGTCTCTATAATACAGTACATAGTTATGAATTAATACGAAATATTCATGAGCGGACAAACGCCAAAACGGCCATCCTAGCGTGCCGGCACTATAGTTAGTAGGACACGAGGTAGTTAACATTAACCATAATGACTTTTATATACATGGTGTAACCGAAGGGTGCAGTGGAAATCCAGGAACGTAGAGAGTAGTAGAACGTAGAGAAAAATTACGATAATTAACATCAGTACAAAGAAGCAGTGGCACGCACGAGGTAAATACCTGTCCCCATCAAATAGTTGGGAAAGGCACAAAAAGCAAGCTACCAATAGAACACTATTTGGAGAACAAATTTTTATCATTTGCTTGTCGAGCAACACACTCGACGCTGTAACTTGCCGTGATGCTTTGTCTTTAGTACAGTGACTGAAAAATAAACAACAGATTGTCAAATTCTACCCTCTCATAATGGAAAACACTTTAAATACCAAGTGATGTTTAAAACATGAATAGCAATATTAAATGTGCATTATACACGCATGTAAGATTGTGTTCTTTACGATACCTTTACTTTTTTTTTCACCCCAAGAAACCTTCTACTTCCGGATGGAGTGCCAATTGAGCGCCAACGTGCTAAGTTCATCGTAAAAATATACCGCGCGGATGGTCTCCCAGAGATGAATTACTCCATTCTTGCCAACGTAAAGAGGGCTTTCACCGGCGAAAGTCAGGATTTGGTCGACCCATACGTGCAAGTTTGTTTCGCTGGAATGACCGTAAGTGTTGGATCTTAAAGTGCTAAAAATTCAAAACTTGGCTGTTTGAATTTGGGGCACCTTTCTACTGAATAAATTAACTTACTACGTAATTAACGTAACTCATTAACGTACTTAACATGTCATTATCATATTTATCGTACTTACACTACGTCCACGATAATGTTCAGGGCAGCACATCAGTGAAAAAGAACTGCTACGCTCCGGTGTGGAATGAGCAGATCGTGTTTACGGAAATGTTCCCGCCGTTGTGCCAGCGTATCAAGATCCAATTGCGGGACAATGATCCAGTTCATCCTAATATCATTGGCACTCACTTCATAGACCTTAAGACTATATCCAATGACGGGGAGAAAGGTAACAAACAAGGTATACTTGGGTCTATTCTATCTCTATAGTATTTTGCTAACCCTTTGATGATGTTCTAATTGTTTTTGTTACTTTCTAATTCTCAATAGGATTTCTGCCAACATTTGGACCTGCTTACATTTATTTGTACGGCTCCACACGTGATTACAGCCTGATCGATCAACACGCAAGCCTTAATATGGGCATGGGAGAAGGGGTCGCTTATAGAGCTCGGTATGCAACATCAAAAATCTTGTTTATCAGCCACGTCCACGCATATACTTTAAAATAATGGTTTTATATTTTTAATGCAATTTTTGTAGAGTATTGGTATCCATTCGCACTGAGATAACCGACAATGTAGAATGTCAGGCGTCAGAGGTAGAAGTGGAACCGATTCCTCCAATCACTGACTCTAGTTTCGGAAAAAACGAGGAGTTCTTCCTATTCGCTTGCATGTTCGATGCCAACATGATCGATAAACGGCTTACTGACAAACCACTGCAGTTCGAGTTGAGCATTGGCAACGCCGGCAACTCTCTTGATGGTCACGGTGAGTCCGTCAAAAGGCCTCAAGACTTGGAATTCGAAGAACTTGGTGTGTAACATTTATTTTATGCAAATTTTAACGTATTTAAGGTAAGTGTATACTTATTTTACAATACATTGTAGATGATCTGAGTGCCGATACTGGATACTGGCAAAGCATGACACAACCGACCAAAGCAACTTCTACAGACAAAAATTATTATTATCTGCCCTATTGGGACCACAAGCAGTGTATGCACGTTCGCAGTATTTGGCCAGATCATCGGCGCCGAATGTACAACTCTAACCTTATTTCGAAAATAATTGAAAAGTTTGTAAGTATTCGCCCAGCTAGCAATTAAAAGGAATTATTTGATGAAATTAGATTGTATACATATATCAACGCTCTTAGGAGGAGGGTCTGACCGACGCTCAAGCGGCAATAGAAACTGACGTCGGTCCCGATGGTACAAGCGTGATGGCCTTAAAGTCGGCACTAGAAACTGCCAGCACCGCCTGTGCCGCGTATGTCAGCCACATGAGTAACGCTCCGCCTATTGGAAACACTAAACTGGATCGTGAGAGGCAAAAACTATGCCTTCACGAAATCGTAAGTGCCTACGGCATACTTTAACCACTCAAAATTTATTTTAGTTCAATTAAATTTAATCCGATTTTTCTCGCATTGCAGGATCAAATTAGCAACATGACTAAAAGTTTAAAGGCGCTCATAACTAAGCATTCGATCAAAGATCGATTGCGCACAGCTTACACATATCTCAACAAGCTGAAACAACTGTGCGAAGATGTAAGTACACCTCTTTAAGTTTGACGCCACTCTACCTCCTTTACGTCATTTCACAAATTGAAACGCGTACGTTTACATTTTAGGCGCAACATACGATGCCAGACGTTTTTATTTGGCTTATTAGTAACGGCAAGCGTTTGGCGTACCAGAGGATACCAGCCAGAGACATCATTTATTCAGATTTCAGTGACGAATCTGGAAAGAATTGCGGCAAAATGCAAACTTTGTTTCTTAAGGTATAAATAATCTTGGTAGTAAAATAATAAAGTCAACAATTTGCTAGTGCAATGAAATCAGGACTTGTGATTGAATTACAGTGGCCGGGAAAGAAAGCATCTACCCCAAGCGGATGGGCTATACCAGCTAAAATAAGTGTATATCTGTGGCTAGGCGTGCTACAAGACAAAAAGCATTATATTGACACCCTGCCCAAAGGCTACGAACTCAGCTCTGAACTACGAAATGCTGACAAACTACGATCCAATGCCCCTTCCACTATATTCTATGGAGAAAAACACGTAAGACTTAACAGCTCGTAAATAATAGTAATTTAACAAAAGCTCTTATAGTTTCATAATTTGACACAAAAATTCACTTATTTCAGAATTTTCAAATGCGAGCTTATGTTTACCAAGCGAGATCTTTGATCGGTTCCGATTCCTCTGGGTTGTCGGATCCTTTTGCTCGAGTAGTCTTGGGTGAAAGCACCGCAACTACTCAAGTTATTGACGAAACCTTAAGTCCAACATGGGATGAATTACTCGTGTTCGACGACGTATTGCTGTACAGCACTATTGAACAAATAAAAGCCGACCCACCTACTATTATAATCGAGATTTTCGATCAAGATAAAGTAGGAAAGTCGGAATTTATTGGCCGTACTCTTGCAAAACCCCACATTAAAGCGTTTGAAGATACCTACGAACGTCCCCAATTTCCACCATCATTAGAGTGGCATGAAATCACGCGAGGTGACGACAGAGCTGGTGAATTATTAGCTACATTTGAATTGCTTGAGATACCAGCTAAACAAAACTCATCGATCTTACCCGATTTACCAAGCCCCAGGGAATCCAATGGTAAATTACCCAATGATATAAATAAGGGACCCATCTATCCCGTGCCACGAGGTATACGCCCTACTTTGTCAAAGTATCGCATTGAAGTGCTGTTTTGGGGACTACGTGACCTGAAACGTGTTCATTTACTTACTGTGGACAAGCCCAGAGTGGATATAGAATGCGCTGGTAATATATTGTATTCCACCGTTATACAAAACGCAAAACGAAACCCTAATTTCTCGAATCCTGTTAAATTTGTGGACGTCGAACTTCCCGACCAAGACTTATATAGACCACCGCTGACTATTAGAGTTGTCGATTGCAGAAGCTTCGGCAGAATTACATTGGTTGGCACTCATACTATAAATTCCATTCATAAATATATTTACACGCCAATGAGCAAAAAGGAAAGAGAAATCGAAGAAAGAAAAAAGTCATTAATTCAATTGCAAAACGTGGATTTGCGAGCTAACGTCATTCTACAAGAGGATGTATTTACCATCGAGAATGAAAGAGAAAACATCCCTCTACTAACGCGTGACGGTAGAGCTACAGCGTCCTATGGTTCAGGTGTCCAGCAACCCATGAGGAAGAAAGTTACAAAACGTGAAGGTTCAAAGAAAAGGAAAGCCAGCACAGATTCAGTCTTGGACGATGATGGGAGAAGTAAAGACTGGTGGACCAAATATTTTGCTTCTGTGGAGTCAATGATCGAAGAGGAAAAAGAAGCTAAGAAAGAGCGACAAGGATTTCTTGTTCCACAAGTGGCTTTCGTAGACGAAACCCCAACAAGATCTCCAAGAGAAGAAGTGCATTCTCCGCGACCGGAAAGAGATAGAATAAAGCGTCGCCATCCTCAGTCTCCAAAAGCAAAAGTGAGCCCAACAATCCAAAAAAAGAATGAAATACCACAGTCTGCTTTGACCAAGGTAATTTACTAACATAATTTCGAATTCCGTATTGTACATACATATATATCTTCTTAGACTTGGAATAAATAATAAAAATCATTTTGTATTCTAAATTTATATGTATATATTTATACCTGCGCAGATATATCCACACGAACTTGAAGCGGTCGCAGAATACGACGAATTCAAAGAATGGTTACATTCCTTTGAATTATACAGAGGCAAAAAGACTGGTGACGATTCAGAAGATGAAAATCGCGTGGTCGGTGTTTTCAAGGTAAAAGAAATGAATACATATTATTGTCAACCTATACAATCATATTAATTCAAACTCCAATTATTCAAAGAAACCCGTCCTAGAGGTTGTAGACGTATCCGTTGCATGGAAGCAAATAATATATTTTTAAATAGATAGTTTTCCTAGTATGGAAAATTTAATTTCATAATGTTTGTTTTTCACTTGCTGAAGAAGCTTTTGAGGTGGCATTATTTATACGTAGTCACATATATTTTTTTGCAATTTTCCCCCGGAACACAGGGTTTGCCTAGTGCGGGGCTATGTTGAGTGTGTGCGTTATAAAAAAATACTTAAACATTTATGTCATCATTTCAGGGAGCTATAAAAGTTTACAAGGTGCCCATACCAAGAGGAATCGATGATCATACTGTAATGGGATTTGATCCGAACTATGGCTTTTTCCAAGGTGTCCCGAATAATGAACCCATTCATGTCCTAGTAAGAGTTTACATTGTAAAAGCAACAGACCTGCACCCGATGGACTTAAATGGGAAAGCTGATCCTTACATAGTCTTGCATTTGGGCTCAAAGAGAATCAGTGACAAGGAGAATTATGTTTCTAAACAACTAAACCCCGTTTTTGGAAAGTGCTTTGAAATCGAAGCTACATTCCCTCAAGACTCTATGCTTACGATTCAAGTCCTGGACTGGGATCTTCTAGGATCTGATGATCTGATCGGGGAAACGAAAATTGATCTTGAAAATCGATTCTATAGCCGACACCGCGCAACATGTGGTTTGCCAATGAAATATGAAGAGTAAGTGACGCACTAATATTAGGCCCAGATAGCTTGATTTTTTATAATTTCCTATCATTTACAGGCAAGGCTATAATCGATGGCGAGATGCCATGAAACCGACACAGATTTTAGCGAAGCTGTGCAAGGACGGCAAACTGGATCCTCCAATATATGAACACGGAAGGGTGAAGATAGGGCGCACGGTGTTCAATATGCCATTAGAAGATACAGAGTTATTCTCCAACCCAGACACGTTCGAGGAGCAAATGGCATTGGTAGTGCTACGTCGCTGGCAAGAGGTACCACGTGTCGGGACCAAACTTGTTACCGAGCACGTGGAAACAAGGCCGCTATACAATCCCAACAAGCCAGGTAACATTTTCCATTCAGGGTAAAAATTACATTGCTTTCTAATAATGATATATACAAGGTGCGCCAAAAAATGTAGCCATTAACAAAGTTAATTTACTTCTCACTTTGTATAATTTGCGGAAATTCCAGTTTCGCTAATCTTTAACCAAACCAGGCATTCACAGCTTTAGTCTGACTCAGTCATCACCAACTCATTTATATGTCCCACTGCTGGGCACGAGTCTCAATCAGGCGCGGGTTTATGCCATAGTCCGCCACGCTGACACAATGCAGGTTGGGGACTTGACACATTTTCCGAGGGTTGTGAACCTCCTTCGGCGTGCACGTCTCATCGCGATGTTTTTGTTCACCGAAAAGCTCATGGTACATTTCCAATTAAATTTTGCACGTAAATTCGGCACCGTCAGAGGTGAGATCGACACTCGTTGACGTAGATAGCGCTGTTTGTCGGTGAAAGATCAATATAATTTGATTTATTTATTAGTGTAAGCAATTGTCAAATAAATGGTGAAGTAGTGTATCCTGGTCGGAGTCAGACAGCCTTGCTGTGGCAACCTAATGGTTTCGACCAAAAGTTGTGGGTTCGAATCCGAACTCGCACTTTTGAGTTTCCCGGAAAGCATGATGAAAGCATTCCATCCGATCCTACCACCCCTTGAGGACGAGTATAGTGAAGTTGAGATTCCGGATGTCGTGGACCGTTCTAACTGATGGTGATTAGAGACTGATTTCTCAGATACCTGATTACACAATCTAATTTTAATTATACATTATTTAATTTATATTTGTGGACGCCTACGGTAGGTAACGGTTAGCGACTGTAGCTGACTTCGCGCGGCGCCACCAAGCGTTGATTCAAACCTTAAAGCGAGCAATGCCACATAAACTTTATTCTCAACAAAATAAGGCAACATTTCATTAAACAAACACATGAAAACGAAGCTCTTTCAAGGGGCGGCGGGCTGCAGAGTGGGGTAGCAGACGCACTTTATAAAATGCAATATACTATAGAATATATTCTTTATTTCATAAAGTATACATTTCTTCAAAAAACAAAAGAGTAAAGCCGCGTGACGCGTCGTGCTTCACGACTCCGCCCACTTGTCTCGCCTCTGACAATACAAAGTGTAACTTAACTTCTCAACAATAAGGTATATTTCTTTGAAAGGCAGATTGCGTAGTATATGCAATGTAGTTTATCTAATATACTAAACAAAGTCGATATTTCTTTGAAAGTCAAGCAAAATCTCTTTTGATAGAAGCAATATATACTTTATTTAGTAGACAGTATGTTCTATATTATAATGCATATTATAAAGTGCGCCTGACGAAGCTAGACCTCTTGCTGCATCTACTTTATGGATGAGTGGTCGTGTTTAAGTAATATGCAGATTACACATGCAAATAATGTTGCGTGGATGAGAAGGTCCCAGGTTTCATTACCGGTAGAACCAATTTTGGAAATGTACTTTTCTAACGTGGTTTAGAAAAGTGGTGCTCCTATGTGCTCTGAGTGATGCCACGGAGCCAGTTCCGTAACTCTTGGTTCCGGCCTCGATTCCCGGTAGAATCAATTTTGAAAATGAACTTCTCTAAAGTGTCGTGTCAAACATGGTCACATCATACTTTAAAACATTTTGACAGTATTATATAGTAATAAAAATTGAGCGCGACAAACGAAATAAAAAGAAACAGCATTTGTAGTATGGCAGCATATCGCATGCAATATATCATAAACCTGCCCGTGACATATTTATTGCACTCGATAAGCAATGTTGCCATTATTAAAATTTTATTTTCTATTGCGAATACTGAATCGGCAAGATACCGCCACTGCGCACTGGTGTCATTTGTTCTTTTATTTATTTGACAATGAACGATTTTTTGTTTCGTCGTTTTACAACGATGCAATTCAAAGGATTATAATTTTCGTTGATTAAATGACAAAGTTAGCCACAATATGCAATTTCATATTTCATATCAATATTGTATAGCAAGGTTCCATTATCAAGTAAACTAAAGAAGAAATGGCGTTAGTGCGGTATCTTACCGACTCACAATAAAAAAAAATATTTTTTTAATAATGAATATGTATTTTTATTACGTGTAATAAATGTTTATTTTAATAGCAACCTATAAGTCACAGCTACAAGGTATTGAAAATAGCATAAATAGGCGGAACTACGTTTTTGGGAGATATTCCTACGCTCTATTCCGCGCTAACAAGTCTTTGAATGACTTTTTCATGCGTGAACGTAAACGTTAAGGTTAGCAATAGAGCTGTGACGCACATGCATCTATTTTGAAATTAACTAATCTTATTTTTTAAATAAATGGACTTGCTCTTGACCGCTCTCCTTCAGCTCTGGAGCAAAGATCTGCGATGGAACGAACTCGTCCAGGAGATGCCTATTCAGTCGCACCTTAAAGATACCCGGGTTGTATGAGTTCGGAAACACAGTCGCAGGCAGGAAGTTCCATTCCTGGACTGCGCGCATAATAAAAGATGATGAAAAGCGCTTAGTACGCCTGAAGGGAATATCGATCAAATAAGGACAATATCCCGCTGTACGTCTGGATGTCCGAAGGTAAAAGGGGGCGGGCGGGATGAGCTGATGAAGCTCATGGGCACACTCACCGGAATATATTCTGTAAAAAACCGACAGGCGCGCAACTTTGCACCGGTGGGCTAAGGTATGAAGTTTTCCTTATCGTCGCCAATAAATCTCCTGGCTCTGCGCTCAATCGATCAAGTCTCAAGTTGATACATCGCTGAGCTATCCCACAGGCGACTGCGGTACTCCATGCAAGATCAGACTTGTACTTTATATAGAGTTAAGAGCTGTCTAGGAGCGAAATATCACTTAACCTTATTAAAGATACCCAATTTTTTGGCCGCAATTTGTGCTTTACATTCGATATAAACGCCATAGTTAAGGGTTGCGCTCAATGCTATGCCAAGGAGATCCAGACTGTCGTCGGTAAGAGATACAGAAATACCCCGAAAAGTGGGAGTCAGATCAAATTAATTCCTTTTAGCAGAAAACAGACAGGCCTGCGTTTTGGTGGCGTTGAACTCGACCAGATTGTCATGTTCCCACTGAGAAACGAGACTTAAGGTCAAGTTCGTCCGCTCCACCATGGCCTCTCTCAACGAACGGATAACTACCCTGCTGTCTTTTGCGCTGGACAGACAGCACTCCGTAACAGCGCTGTCATCTGCATACCCAACAATACATTATTTTATTTTTATTTATTTATTTAAATACCTGAAACTAGCAGGTCATTGATGTGTAGCAGGAAAAGAGTCGCAAAGAGAACAGACCCCTGAGGAACTCCGGCATCGATAGCCATCAAGTCAGATGAGCAGCCTTCAATGACTACTCTGACTGACCGTTCATCAAGGAAATCTGATATCCAGCTTCAAAAGTCAGCAGGGAAGGCGTAAGCGGGAAGCTGGCTCAGCAGATTTGCTTGCCAAACCCTGTCAAAGGCCTTCGAGATATCTAGTGACACGGCCAGAGCCTCGCCGTGTTTCTCGATGGCTTCGCCCCAGCAGTGCGTAACATACACAAGAAGATCTCCAGCTGATCGTCTCCGGCGAAAACCATAAAATTAATTAAATTTGTATCAACTTTTACAGAGGGAGAACGAAATCAAAAATACTTTTGACTTTAATATGATACGCTTTCCGTTTCACTCCGTATATTATTTAACTTATACGCAGGAATCGAGCAAGGGCGCCTAGAGATGTGGGTAGACATGTTCCCCATGGATATGCCTCTGCCTGGCCCACCGTTGGACATATCTGCTCGCAAACCAAAGTCTTATGAGATGCGTGTTATTATATGGAACACTGACGATGTAGTTCTGGAAGATGACGCTTTCTTCACTGGCGAAAAGATGTCGGATATTTACGTAAAAGGGTAAGTGTACCAAGCAACTATAATAACTGCCTCCGTGGCCGACCGGTTGCCATGCCGGACTGCCACGCAGAGGTCCCAGGTTCGACTCCCGGGTCGGGAGAAATATTTGTATGGCCTACATTTATTTCTCTCGTGAGTTTGGGTGTAATTTGTGGTTGCCTATGTGTGTGTCCATGGCACCTGCGACACAGGGTTTCCCTAGTGCGGGGACATGTTGAGTGTGTGCGTTATTTAAATTCTATCAATAATATTTTTTTGGTTCGTCATATGTAGTAATAATTTACATATCTTCCTTGTGTTTTGCTTAGATGGCTCAGGGGGCCGGATGATTGCCAATCCACAGACATTCATTATCGTTCATTGACGGGAGAAGGGAATTTCAACTGGCGCTTCATATATCCTTTCGAATATCTCGAAGCTGAAGAACGCATAGTAATTTCTCGAAAAGAGTCCGTTTTTTCCTGGGATGAAACAGAGTGTAAAATACCAGCACGTCTCGAATTACAAGTTTGGGATGCCGACCATTTCTCTGCTGACGATTTCCTGGGTAAGTGGAATTCTGGGCCATGTAATGTAGTAAACCTAAACTTACGAAAAGTCAGGGTTTGGTATTGATGTACTACTTATTTTAATCCTTTTACAAAACTGCCTGCAGCTTGTTGGCTTGTCTAGTTTAATTTAATTGAACATAATGCTGCATTCGGGCATCAATTTGATATCTTAAAAAAATACGCAATTGTAGGTACGCAGTTTGTATTTTAAGCAGTTTTAGTTGGAACTAGCCAACCGCGCTAAAAGTCCAGCGCTTATCGTGACGGTTGGTATTAAAAGAATACCCGTCTCCATACTGTGTAAAGGTAAAGTGATCAAAAGAACTTAAGGCGAAGTATTTCAACGCGAACCTATATTACAGGAGGTGAGGTGTGGGGACCATACCTCGCGTCCCGCAACCCGCACGCTTCAAATAATATGAATAAAATAAGAACAGGCGGAGAAAAATTGGCACGCCGCTTTGGCAAGCCGCTGGGGAATTTTCAAATTTTGGGATGTGAATTTGATAAATAGGGTTTCAGTTGAAAACCAAAATGTAGCAAGTTCTCTGTAGCACTCAAATGAAATATTGCCATATAAAAATTACGTGCGAAGTCACATATTTTATTCTTAAATAATTACTTTTAGACTTTTTTATTTTAGCCCGTTTTGAGGATTTTATACGATCGGGTGAAGTATATCCTACCATGTAACGAATTAGCGCATTCTTTAGATAATATCCTTAGGTGTATCGTATGTTTTTTTTTGCAAGACCGTTAATTAATTGTTAATAGCTACCATTTGATTTAGCAAAACAGTTTTTCCCGCTTCTCCTCCAGCGACTCGCCTTAAGAATGAACTACCACGGAGAAACAGATACAACAAATGACTCCAAATACACTAGGTACTCAACAAAGTGTAGGGAACAAGCCAATTTATAGTAGCACGTACAAATTCTGTGTTTGTTGAGACTAAACCTCAGCCATACCGAAATATACTGCATTAAAACACATACATACTTTCAAATCGCGGTACTTTATTCCGACCGGGTTAGCAATTGAAAAGTGGCCTGAAATTGGCAAAGACTTGTTTCAAAATAACATCATGCGTTCAATTCAATGTCATACCTGTTACGACGACATAAGATATGCACCATACCACTCATAAATTTTTGTTCGTATTACAGGAGCCATAACATTGGACCTTAACAGATTCCCACGAGGAGCGAAATCATCTAAGTTGTGTACTTTGGACATGCTAAGCAACGACGGCTCCGTGCCCATGGTGAACATTTTCAAGCAGAAGCGCGTTAAAGGATGGTGGCCATTCTACATAAAACGTGACACCGAGGAAATGGAACTCACAGGCAAAGTGGAAGCCGAGATACACTTACTAACACGCGAAGAGGCGGACAAAGTGCCCGCCGGACTTGGACGCAATGAACCAGATCCACTTGATAAGCCCAAGTAAGTTTGGCCACATCTTACTACTTTTATGCATAATTCAGTTACAAGATACCACAAAGGTAAGTGGTAAGCTCTCTTACCGTAATGAACGAGGCTAAGCGCAATTACAGCGCTGTTGTGGGCCGTTGGTCCACTGACGCACTGTTTTCCACAGTGGCACCAGAATGCATGTACTAAAGAAAATGTTTGAACTTCTTCCAATACAAAACTTCTTAAGACGATCGGAGAATTTGTACGAAATGTGACTAATTTTATTCGCGAGTGTCTTCTATCGACTTACTAGAAAGTTGTTGTATGATGGGTAGAATCACCCAAAGAATTTCAGACCCCACTCGAACGCCCTACACACAAAAGGCGGTATAAAATTCATCTCAGACACTAGTTCATTGTTTTTTCCAGTCGCCCTGATGCGTCGTTCATGTGGTTCCTGAATCCTCTGAAGTCGATCCGCTACATCATTTGGCATAATTATAAGTGGACAATCCTCAAAGCAACCGTCATCTTCCTGGTAGCGTTTATGTTCTTCTTGCTCATCTATGCAGTGCCAGGTTACTCTGTCAAAAAACTCCTGGGCGCTTAGGTTACCTGCACAATGCTCAGAACATTAGTATTTTCCTTTCAGGTCTGCATTCCTATCTATAGTATAAGGTACAGATACCAGATTTACAGTTAAAGTATTCATTATATAAATTAATATAAGATACATATATAATATACGAACCATTTATTTTTGGTAATAGGATATTTGGCAAAGAATCGACCACTTCTTCATAATATTTGTAAACTTATAAAAGTCATCGGAAAAAAATAGTAAATGCCTGTTATATAGAGGCGCTGAGAGTAAAAACGGTATAATCCCATTTTCGCACAATAGAGATATTCGACTTTGAAAAAGATACTGATATACTGATGTATATCGTTAATGTTTGTTGGAATATAAGTACCTATATTGACATTAGTAACTTTGTCAAGCTGCATTAAAATAGATCATTATGAAAAAGATGCTAAATATTTTCTAAGCTGCTTCTCAATAATATCACGATTTGACTATGAAAAACCGACTGAGGAGCTATGTATGGGTAATTTTCACTTCTATTTGAAAAAAACATGAAAATTTCTTTTAGATATTTTTGATGATGGATTTGATCACTTTTGGTCTTGTTATTTAAGGGAAAACCAAATACACTCGCCGCGGCTCGCAAAACAGTAATGTCTACTCATCTTTTCAGATGTTTTTGGACACCTTTTGATTTTCGCCGTCTAAAAAGAAATTTGTACAGAAAAAAGCAATGCATGCGCAAAATAAGAACTCAACCTTATATTACATACCCTTCTATGCCTCAAAAGTCACTTCCATGAGCATATTTTTATCCACGGATCCATAGAAGTGACCTCCACGGTAACGACATTTTTCCATTAAAATCACAAACACTTAACTTCAAAACCAAGAACGGATATGTAAATTTAGCCATGACAATTTAACCTCGCCTCGAGCCCCCGTCCGCGTGGACACGACACTTCACAAAATTATCTATACATGTCATATATTATAAGATTTGTACAAAAATATTAGAATTTAAATTTATTTTATTGATATACTGTTATTTACATATTAAAAGTATTTCACATGTGTATGTACTTGCATGCACACTACCTATTATGTCGGTGTTCTTATCTGTTTGTTTATTTATTTATTTATTGTCGAGTTAAATATGTACTGTCGTCAGTGGCTCACTCGCCCGGCCTTGCTGAAAATCAGCGCCACGAAACGCTTTAAAAAATGCCTTTTTGTGGCTAACGCTGAGCAAGTCCCGATTGCACCAGGCGCGACACGCCTGTCTGTCAATTAGGTACTACATTATCAATTGTTTTAATTTTTTCATAAATATTTTTTTTATTTTATTATTATTATATCATTATTTATTTTAGACTCTCGCTTCTCCGAGAGCCTAAAAGATTAATTTTGAATTGTTATTATTACTACGAGTATTTAGTCTTGTCAGCTTGTTAGCTGGTTTGAACCTCTATTATTAGTATTATTATTGTTCCTCTGTTGTTTTGTTTATATGCGTGTCCGTGCTTGTGTATTAAACAGTTTTCTTTTTTTCTTTCTTTCTTTCTTTCCGTGTGTTTTTGAGAGAAAAACGCGTTAGCCACAAAACTGAAGTGCATTAATTAAAAAACATACATCTAATGACCAACACAATTGTAACCACTTATGCTCGGCGACTTTTGAAAATCGGAGATCAAAATGTAAATTACTCGTAGTTGTTGTTGTAGTAATGTTGGCATCGACAGCTGAAACTGGCATCTTTTGATGGCGGCTGTATCTGCGTCCGGGCCAAGCCCTCCGCCAGTGATACGACTTTGCCGTCTATGGTAGACCCGGACATGGGTATGGCCTCGCTAGGGTTTGTGGTTAGCTGCAGAGACAAACATGTTTAGCTGCCTCGTTGTTGCACGTTTTCGGGGCGTCTGTCTCGTGGGCAGCTACCGCGTCTTAGTAGCGGTCTAGTTGAGGGCCTGAAGCGAGGAGACGCGCAAGTCACGTGTGTTGGCCTTTAAGTTGGAAGCTATATCCGGACATTGTCGCAGAACACTGCGACTGGCATCTCCGGCACTATGCCGGAGAGCTAGTAGAGGATAAGCTAGATATCCTCCGGTCCCTCCAGCCGCTTAGGTTATTGGGAACTGGAGAGACGTCGTTTTTCGGTATCGGGAAGCGTGATTGGCTTACAGCTCCGCCACCAATGAGGAAATCTGGTAGTGGCCTCAGAATCGACGGCTTAGCGGTTGCAACTGCTAGTTGTGCAATGCGCAACGGCCAGTGAGCGCGCCTTCATCGCCTTCGCGAAAATAGGGGGGCACTGTACGTGCACCCGGGGCGACTCACCCGAGGCACTAGCCTCTCGAAGAACCGGATGAAGTCAACTGACTGAGGTCTGTGACAACTATGTACACTGGCTGATCTGGGGTCAGAACCGGAATTTATAAGGGTCCTGTGGGCGTACAGGTTATAGTGCCCTTCTCGTATACCGTCAGAGTCGGTAGGGAGGGTCACTATAATCAAAACCAATGTAGAAAGATATGGGGGCTGTGTCTGCGTCCGTACGAAGCCCTCCGCCAATGATACGTCTTCACGGGCGTCTCTGGTGGACCCGGACTTGGGTATGGACTCGCTAGGGTTTGTGATTAGCTGCAAAGACGGACATGTTTGTCTGCCCCGGTTGGGTGTGGTCGGGGCGTCTGTCTCGTGAGCAGCTAGCGCATATTAGTAGCGGTTTAGTTGAGGGCCTGAAGCGAGGAGACGCGCGGGACACGTGAGTTGCCCTTTAAGCTATGGACATAGCTTAAAGGGCAACTCACTCACGACATTGTCGCAGGACACTACGACTGGCATCTCCGACACTAGCTCGGAGTGCTAGTAGAGGACAAGCTAGATATCCTGGGAACTGGAAAGACGTCTTTTTCGGCGTCGGGAAGTGAACGTACCTTACAGCTCCGCCATCAATGAGGAGATTTGGTAGTGGACTCAGAATCGACGCTACAGCTCCGGTAGCTATTTGGAAAATAGGGAGGGTACTGTACGTGCATCCGGGGTGGCTCACCCGAGGCACTAGCCTCTCGAAGAACCGGATGAAGTTAAGCGACAGAGGTCTGTGAGAACCCTGTACACTGGCTGATCTGGGATCAGAACTTGGACTTATAAGGTTTAAGGCATAGGTTATAGTGCCCTTCTCTAATTTATTTTTTATTTTATTTGTTAATTATGGCTGTGGACATACATCCATGGATGGGACAAAAAAATAAAAAATAGATATTTGATTTAACCAACTGAGGAATTACCTATTCGATTTAGATATATCTATGTGTTTCTGTTTATAATCAGTAAATGTATTTCAGTTATTATTAACATTTCTTTTTTATGTAATTTTTCTGACGTATAAAACACACGATTTTTTACCTTGCTAAAACGGTGTGGTCACACATGCGGACGTAACATATTCAATATTTTCAAAAATTAATTATATATAACTATGCCTTAAATTAATCCATTTTTTCTTAAATTACGGTATTTTACCTATATTTACACAATGTACATATTTAGTTACTACATGTTAGAAAACTGATGATCACGGATTTTTTTTATGACAAATACCCATTTTTCTGCATTTGATGGAGCAATAAACATTTTTGACGTAACTCCACTTATGCCATTCTTCCGCGAGGGGAGCGAAATGCAAAGCAGGTACAATAGACTCTTCGGTCACGCCATTGTTTATTTCAATGATTGAATGATGTTTAAAACAAAAGGATTAAACACTCTTGCTCTCAGCGCCTATTTATTATAAATTTACAATAATTGTTGTGGAGTGTTGAACTAATAAATGGACAATCAACATTTTAAAGTTTATATAAAAAAATATGGTTCTTAGATGTGACATGTTTAATCTCAAATACACTTACATATAATTTAATCTACAAATCTAATGTTACTTATATAATATATCGTTCTTTTCAAAAAATGTAGCAATGCATTTTAATCAATTTAAATCAAATTATATTTGTGCTTTCTCCATAATTGTAAAATCGTTGTTTCATTTAAACACCATTTAAAACCTTCCTACCAAAATAAATAAAAAATTCCACCCATTAAACCTTTGCCAATACGGACTATAATTATGTGTATAATTATTATGCATCACTGATACGTTCAACGTAAATCGAATTTAAATTTCACTACGGTACGCACGTAGTGAAATTTAAATTCGATACGCGTGACTATACATACTTCACAAGGATTTTGTGACATCATTATGCTGTGGCACGTTCTGCCCATTCTGCCCACAAACCGTACATTGGGAAATATTCGGTTTGTTCAACTGCATCAGTATCCGCAAGTTTCGACCGACTATATCTATGTATCTACTGTTACGGGGTAACTAAATAAAAGAAGGAATACCCTTGTAAACAAAA